AAAACTAAATTTTATAGGGGAAAAAAAAAAAAAAAAAAAAAAAAAAAAAAAAAAAAAAAAAAGAGTTTATAAATAAATAAAAAATAAAGTATTTTATCTTCCTAATGCCCTGAATTTTTCTTCATAACAATATTATCTCAAAAAACATTTAACGCCTTAGCGGTTTTCTTGGGGGATTCTGTATAATATCTGGAATTATTTTTCAATTTTTATTCGCTATATATCATACTCATTTTTGAAACAGCTTCCTTTCGATGACTTTCTTATCAGCAGAGGTGTCACGTTCTGTTACACAAGATTTTGGTCAGATTAAATTAGTGGAGCGAATTTATCCATGATACTGAACAGCTTTACAGGCTAGGTATTTTGAAAAGCCTAGTTTCATCACCACTGAAAACATTTTTAGCTGATATTCATACACCTTCTTTACATAAATTCTTGAATCTTCAACATGTATTTATGTGCCATCAGCTGAGATATCTTTGGATAATAATATTCTATGCCGTAATTTATATTTATGCAGATTTTCAGTGAAAAAACAATTGCCCTTCGCACATTTTTTGTCTTTCTTTAGCATACGCCAGTTCGTTGATATATTTGAAGCGCTGTACAGAGTGAAAAACTTTAGCAAAATAAGATTTTGAATGACCAGATATTTTTACCTTGAATGGGATCTTCATATAATCCTTCCTCAAACCATAAATCCAAAGCATTCACACCTCTCTTTCGATCACATTTTTCCAATCTATACTCTATCCTCCGAATACACTGTCATCAGAAACTGGTCAATACATTAGTTCAGAATTCATCTGTAAACAAAACATTAATCCACTGCTGTAAATTTAAATATAGATGCAGCAGTATAAGCTATCTCTGCAGTCAGTACAAATCAGGGAAAGGCAAAAAGTGGGTCACTGAAAAGCCTTTATGCCTTCAAATTCTTCTTTGTTGTTTATCTGCTGCATGCTGCAGAGGTCTCTAGCAAGAGCTGCCAATTGTATTACCGCAGTTAAAATCAGATATTTATCATTGTTCGTCAATGTGACTATATTCTGAAGCCTCTGATAACCTTTCTCTTGAAATCTTCTCTACCTTATTACTACACGAGATAACATTTTATGGCACACTAGTTCCCAAAATACTACAACTGGGTCTGTCTTCCTTTAAAGAGTAGTATAAATGTGGGTTAAATACCAGGTCAATACTAGGCATTTTGCTGCCCAGTGCAATCTACAATTTTCTGCTGCTTCCATAAATTCTAAAAATTTTGTCACCTCTAAATTTTGTTGGCCAGTGTGTGACCTATGTTCTAAAAAATTTTCCATCCCTAAATTTTGTTGCTTGATGCTTAATGTTAAAATTTTTGTTGACCCTAAATTTTGATGCCTTGTGCCATGGATTGGCAGCCCTGGTTAAATCCAGTAAATGCCTTTATGCCTCATTGTTCCTCCTATATATATTAGCCTCATTATAATGGTGTTGACTGCGTAAATCATTTAAATGTATTTCAAAATTTAAAAGTTCTACAATTATTTTACGATTTGAGTTTTGAATTATTAATCACAAAAAGCATACATGCATTTTTACACAAGAAGCAAACATGTATTTTTAGTTTGTTTAGTCAAAACTCGAACAACGGGGTCTGATTACTGCCTAGGATACAAGGGGTCCAAGCTTCAGCCAATGTTTTAGATGACCCCAGTTTACCTGTGGCTCTGCCTTTCTCTCAAATAAAAGAATTGGGACTCTGACAGCAAGTTGTGCTTAGGACTGTATTAAATGAGCTCCGTTAATGGTAACTGATATTTATTCTGATTGATTGTGGGCAAACTCAAGTTATTTTCATTACTCCTGATATAGTTAAAGATAGTAATTTGGAAGTGTCTACATCGGCCATAAAAATTAGTTACAGGTACTAAAAAGACAGAAAAGCTTAACTCCAAAAATATTTCTGATGTCCATTTTATAGCGTTAAAAATAGCGCTAAGCTGTACGGAATTTTACGAAGCTGGTTAAGACTGACAGACCGAAGAGCAAAAAACATACACAAAACACACTTAATTCTGTTCCCATAATGTAAAAGCTGTTGGAATAGGTAAAAAAAAATAAGGGTTAAGCAAATACAAATGTGCACAGCTGTGATTTGTGTGGCTAGATCAGTGACTAGCTAGGTCTATTCTTATATTATGTCTCGTTGATGAAAATCTGAGCTCCCCATGTCAATAATTTTTTAGATTCATCAAGTTATTATATACTAGAGCATATTTTTTTGTAGCTATTTAATGCTAAGTGCTCTGGCAGACTCAACAGTCATGAGAGTCATAATGAATGGAATTAAGGATGTGCATAATGAATGAAATTAAGGATGAGTTTGCAACGATTTCTTCTTCCTTTCTTATTTACCCAGCAAAGCTTTATGCACAGTGAAGGAGCTCCATTTAAGTAGACAGAGTAATTTTTTTTCAGGTGTAATTTTTCTTTTATTTTAGTTCAAGGTGAAACGTGCAAAATTTCTCCAAGTTTGAATAAAACTGTAGAATAGTGTAAACTAATACAGTGCCATTTAATGGTTTCAGCAAGAACTGGTACTTGCTTTGTTATTGGTTTTGTCTTTTTTTTTGTTTTTTGAAAACCACAATCCACACTGGGTGTTTTGATATAATTGTGAAAAATTGATTGACAGCACATTTAAATTCTGCTTTAACCCTCTCGCTGCGCATCCCGCGATTTCCACAGGCAATGTAAAAGCAGCAAAATTTGCGCAACCCACGATTTCCACGGGGATGAAATTTTGCCGTCTATTTAACTGTGCAACCCGTCTTTCCCAGTTCAAGGTTTCCTTCCGGCTTTTCTGTGATGTTTAATTGTTTATTTAGATGTAGGCTAAGAGATGGCGTTAGTTGTCCACATTTCTGACAAATATACAAGAATACGTAATGTAGCATTTTGCGCGCGCTTTTCATAGCTCAAAGATGTCCGACAGGAAGCGTTTGGCGAAGTGATATAACCTATATTCCTGACGATATTTCCGACGCTGATAGTAGACTCTGATTTATGACTCTAATTTCAAGTATATTGAAGATAGCTTATAGCGAAACTGATGAAAATTTCTCGGATTCCTCTGCAGATAGCGATGAATCCGAAAATTCGGTTTCTATTGAAAACGTTCGACAGTGGTGCAAAATGGATATGCAAACTATTACATTATGCAAATATTTTCATTAGTATACATGTTTTACCTTTATATTTTATAAAATAAGTCATAATTTAACCAATATTAATTTTCAAAATTTTCCTTTTATATCATTATACTTCAATTTCAGTATTCTGACAACCTTTTTCTATGATCTAATTGTATATTTGAAAAAAAAAAAAAAAAAAAAAAAAAAAAACACTCTTTTACAAAGCAATTTTGTAAATTTTTTTAACTCTAAAGTATATGTAGATTTGAAATATGTAATAAAAAAATTATGCAATTTTTGAACCTATTTTGATAAAAAAAGTATGCAGTGAAAGGGTTAAAGCCTCTATATTGTTCTGAAGATGAAAAGACATGGTACCATCTCGTGGTTTTAGTAAAAAATAATTGCGGAAACTCAACAATGACAGTGTGAACCTAAGATGGGCAACATGATTTCAAAATCGAACCTGCAGAGTAATATTAAGATTTCTTTTTCTTTAACAAAATAATTACTGTAGATTTGTATTCAGAATAAAACTGTAGATTTATATGAATTACACACACACACAACAAAGGGGAGTTCTTTTTTATATACTTAGATGATTTTAATGAATTCAGCTACTGTAATTTTGTGGGGACCAGTAGTCATTAACAATAACTGAAACGAATCTGTATTTATTGTTGAATCGCTTAGTTTGTTAAGTAATAACAAAACAAATTTAAAAGAAAATTAAATATCTTACGCTTTGCTGAATGACAGAACACTTTTGTGTGTAAAATAAAAAATGTTTTAATTTGGGCTGTGGCAATACATTTCTTTAAATCACTCTTTGTTTATTAAATTCAAAAGACAAATATATTGCGAGTGGCAACACAGTTCTTTTACATCACGAGTTTTCAGGTTAAATTTTCAACTTAAATTTCTTACATTTTCCAAGGGGGCAACACAAAACTTTATCAATGACTGTAAGGATGTGATGATACACATCCATAGTGCATTATTAATCCAAAGGGGCAATTTGTCCTGAAGGACTATTAATTTTGTTTTGGCAGTTTGCATCGAAAACTTTAAAAAGCTGTATCACTTTTCAAATTGTTCCCACCATATATTATCGCCCTGCCTTACAGTTAAAGAAATTAAATAATGAAGAATCTGCATAAATGTATGTATGTTTCTCATGTTATGATAAAACAATGGTATCTAGAACCATCAAAATTTGAATAATGTAATCTTCCATAGAATATGGTCATGTAAAAGCCCTAATTCGAGTTTGAAATTTGTTTTATTATCGATTTCAGATTTTAAAACACTTCAACGAATTTTTGATTAAAAAAACTAAATGATTTCAAAGCGAGCAATGGGAACACTGTGTGTGTGTGTGGGGGGGGGGAATCTCTCCAGTGGGTGAGATTCTGTATCGAAAATTCTAATGATATGGTTATTTTAATATTAATTTGTGAGATTGCTGTTGAACTGAATTTTATAGTTTGAGTACGTAGAACATGATATTTAATAAATAAAGGTAACACACAAAATGTTAAAGAAATGCCCCTTTAGACGTAATTTAAAATCTGAAATCTTTCAGATTTTTTTTTTTTTTTTTTAAATTATAGATATTTTCAGTGCACAGTAAGAATGTTGCTTCCATTGTAAGTGAGAGAATCATGTACTGAAAGAACAATTACACAATGCAAGAACAGAAAACAACTTTTTTTTAATATAAAAATATATATATATACATATATGTTTATTAAATTAAATATAAAACTGTACAAAACAATGTACATTGTAAAATGATAAATTACACCTTTTTTCATCTCAATTTAAAACTATAACCATGGGTACCACAGTGGGTCCATAATACATAAATTATCATAGTCTTTTGCACACTTCACCAATTTGCAGGCCTTAGGTCTAACACTTTCACATTTTGATAAATCTGAAATATATACAAAATAAAAATTTAAAGTTATGACAGAAATAAGCTAAAAACTAACATTAGAAAATAAAATAATAATCTTTCAACCACTTATGCTTTTCTCCACAATATACAGTATACAACATAATGATACCACAAATAATTGTCCATAAATAGCTTGAAAGAGAACAATTAGATTAAGAACATTAACAATTTTGAAAATATGGTTAACTAGATTTAGGTTCAATTATTTTTTGTATTATTATTGTTACTTTTAATTTTACTAATAGAACCAAGTTTTTAGGAATTCTAATTGCATAAAAGTTTTACTTTAATTAATGTGTTGGCTTCAGTTGATGAATTGAAACAATTTTTTTTAAAGTATTTGGCAGAAAACTTTGTTAATTTTTAAATCACCTTGTCAAAAATATTAGCTAAAATCTTTTTTTTTTTTTTTTTTTTTGGGGGGGGGGGTTACATTTGACTTTTTTTTATATGTTCTTCCTGCACTGAAGATTTACATTTATTAAAAAAAAATATTATTGGTTTAAAAAATATATTAAATAATTTTAGTGTACTTTTCTTTTATATTTATTTTAAAGGATTTTTTCTGAACTAGATGATACAGTTATCATAAAAAATACATCTATAAACAAATTATTAATTTGATAAATAATTTTCTTCATAATAAATAGGATCTCAATTATGGCAATTAGCTGATGGTGCATATTTGGTTAACATCACCGACACCGACTGCCCTTAAAATTTCATTGATCTGTCGGGCATTCTTATTTTAAATCACCAAGCAGAACTGTGTTGCTTCATCTGAAAAATCCACAGCACACAGTTCTTTGTTCAAATCAAAGTTCACATTTAATTTTTTTTGAGAGAGTCGTAACTTTCTCTGCAACCTACTAAATTTTGATTTGAATTGAATTTGTCAACAGGTATTGTAAATGACAACTTCGATATTAATTTAAGGGCCACAATATATTCTATTTAATTTTGGCAGACCTATTATGAAACACATCCTACTTTTATTGCAAAATGCATAATGTAATGCATAAGTAAGCAAAATGCATAAGTAAGAAATTTTATCAGTTATACATGTGAAGAATATCACACTGATCTACAGCATTAGAACTTTGTTACTGATTTGCAGAGAGCAGTATTTATTCAATTTCTTTTCATTCTATCCCCCTTTTTACCCCCAAGATGTGGTAATAATTTTTTTTTATTATTCATTAAATTATTTATCATTCACTATATAGTAACTAACTGACAACATGGTAAATTTATGTACAACCATCATATAACAGGTTGTTGAAGCAAAGTTACTGAGCAAAGTCATTTAAGCTGAATTAGTTTTTAATCTTTTTGCATGAATCATAATCATAGGTCATTGCTAATGATTTCCTTTTACTTTAACATTTTAATAATGAATCAGGCTGAGAGCATACAATGCACTTTTGATTCTACATATGTATAAAATTTTTTAACTTCACCAGCCTTTCAACTTTATTCTTTTTAATGGTTAGCTCATCACATAACTGTCTTGCAAAATCTCCATCATAGATATGTCTCAATTATTTTTTAAGTATGGGAAAAAATGACTTCTTGGAGGACTTTTAGGGAAACTCTGTATTTAAAAAGGTATGGCAGAAAAGTAATGAGATTTCTTTTGTGAAATATAGCATGTAATCAAATGTTACTAATCAATTGTATATTCTTTGAACCAGTCCCTATATAGGAAGTTGCATCCTCTAAAAGATGCCATTTCCAATCTTTGTAACACCTGGAACATTTAGAAAAGAAACGTTTTCAAATAGTCCCTTATAGTTTTCTGATGCTGTCTAAAATGGCAAATCAGATAAATTTTCAATTTGAGAAAAAAGGAAAAGTCATATGCATTCTGATCTAAAAAATAAGGGGGGCTACAAAATAACTAAAATGCCTATCCAAGTCAGAAATTCTAAAACAGAAAAATACTATGTGGCAAAGGACATTATTATAGTAAAGTATTCATTATCAAATTCTAGGACACAAATGAGCAAACCTTTTCTTTTTCAATAGCTTTATGAGAATATCAAAATAATAATGTTAATTCACAATTTTTCCTTGCATCACAAATTCCTTTTAGTGATCTTCAGAGAACTCAAGAAAAAATAAGAATCAAATTAATTTAGGAGTTGCTTATATTTGCCTTTTTGGGATATAATAAGCTGCTTGGCTGTGTCATCACTTTCCAGATTGCGGGGGAAAAAACCAGGATTCATAACCAGTTATCATTTTCTTGCAATTCTGAATGCACTGTAGCAGATCCAAATAGACTGTTTCTTTGATTTTCCATCTGGTAATGCGTTTTTGGAACCATTACAGTACGCACATTCTGCATGTCCAATTCCTAGTTAACACAAACGTTCTACTGTAGCTATCGTAGACTGTCTGCCGCCCACGTGCAAATTAAAATTAACCACCCTGTTTTACAGAAATATAACATATTTAATAATCATTTTGCTGCCTTTAAATTTGGCAGCCCACGTGCTGTGCACCATCTTGCCCCTTCCTAGGATCTGCTCAGTAGAACAGTTACACTGTACATGCACCAAATAATAGTTCAAATTTAACTCACTGCTAATGTTCATCACTGTCAGTCAATGTTCTGATGGCATGAGATTTCTCAACCCTATTGCATTTTTGTCTACTTTGGATGGGCAATGTGTTCCAACATGGTTCTCATTTTCAATATTTCACAGTCCTCCAAAGTTGCTTTGTACGAGTTTTGTGGCTTTGATAAAGTATGCTCTTCACATACTCATGGTTCCTCAATTTTTTAGTTGCATTTTTCTTAAGTTTTAAATGAAGCTTTATAACATATTATTGTTGAAAATTTCAATGTTCCACTGCAGTGACATGACACAATAAGACATGTTTAGAAAATATTCTCTAAACAAGCATGTATTCAAATCAAATAGAAGATACTCATTCCAGAGATCAAAGACGTATTACTGACTTGTAGCATGGAAATTGCAGGATTGGCAATCCTTGCACAATGCAAGAAGACTCACTACTTTCCTTCCACATCTTGTATATTACATATGAAGAAGACCAAAGCAACATCATGCATCCAATCTACTCCCAAATTGGAATAGATCATGGGGTGAATAACCAGTATTTTGCAATTCTAACTATTTGTAAACTAGTATGTACACACACACATATATATACATTCCCTAACTGGCTAGCACTTAGCAAACTTAGGCTTGACTACTACTGAGTTCGGAAGTGGTGGCCACTTTACTGTGAAAGCACCTAATTAGGTGGGCCACCATTACCTCTTATGAATGGACAGACAATTACAGCCATTCCTTCTCAGAGATTCGAACCCGGGCCTTCAGTATCACAGTAGGTTTCCTTATACCGTCTGAGCAGCATATTTATATCGTTTACATATTATGATTTAGAAAGTCTTAGTACAGAAAATACAAAATACACAAATATAAAATTATCATAAAAATTGCTAAATACATAAATTACTAAAAACTACACATAATAATTCAAAATGGATAAATAACATGAAAAATTACAAATAAAACACATTTACACAAATTAAAACAATTCAGATATCAAGGGCTAACTAAAATGAAAATAATTAAAATTATCATTGTGAATATACATAAGCAGAATATTTTAAATTTATTCTAATGCTGAAAATATGCTTCTTGAAATCTGATTGTAATCAAAGCAAATTTTTGAGGTAAATGTGGTTCATTGAAATAAATAGAAAAGAGTACAGAATACACACTTAAAAATATTTTAAATGTAAAAAAATATTTATTACTATACATATATATATAAATTTTTACAATAAATTTTAATTAAAATTATTTTCATTACTGTAAAACAAAAATAATACTTTAAATGTCTGGGATTAGATTGAAAACCTTATAAGAATTATCAAATGATATTTATGCTTCTCTCTTAACAAACTTTATTGATAAATGATTACATATTCTTAATAAATGAATAAATTTATACCATCAATTCTTTGCAATGCTTCACACACAAGTCTGGTAACCATGTCGTTTATTCTTTCTTCATCATTTACCCTGGACTCCATGTAATGCAAATGCTATAAAGTAACACATAGCATGAAAAGCAAAATATGGCAGACATAAATATCTTGTTTAAAAATCAATAAAACATAGTTTTTAAATTATTATGCTATTATGAAATTGAAACAAAATTCTACTCTATTTGAGATAAAACTTGAAGCTATAAATTTACAAATAGAATAGAAATACACCTCTTCTAATTACTTGGAAACTGAAAATTACAGTACTAAAAATTAATAAATGAAATGTAAAAATTAATTTTACAGAAATCAGAACAAAGAATACTTTGAAAAATATATATATCTATATATAGTATAAGTGAAAAGAGAGAAATTATTTAATTTCCACATTAAATTTTTTTTTCTTATTAAGCAAGGAATCATTCTTTCTTTTTAAAATCAAGAATGTATATGTAATAAGATATACACTGAGATAAAGAAACATAGAAATACTGATTGTGCACATGTAGAGAGGACAGACCATAGATGCATATTGAGGATGAAGAATTCTAATTGCATAGAATGCTAAAATGTTGAATCTGTAATGAAAAGGAAACTTGGCAGCTGGGTAAGATTAAATAGTCATTTTTATTCCAATTGACATTTGTGACCACAATTCACTTGGTATCTATTTGTGCCTATTTCCAGTATATTTACATTTTTTAAACTGTTGAGATAGGAGGAGAGCACAACAAAATAGCATCTAAGCAGCACAGAGACAGAAGCTAATGTGCACAAATATACAATATGGAAGCTCAACCAAGGAAAGGTTTTGCTTGAAGCTTGAGTTAAAGTTCCTAATTAGCTATGTCATTAGTGTTACAGAAGCCATGTGACACATAGGTAATCTAGAAATTGCTCAGTTTTTTACTACTTACACAGACACACCTGTCCACCTACTTTATTTCTCCACTTAAAATCATTTACATTCCATAATTAATTGAAAATATCAAATAATACAGAAATTTAAAAAATTCCATTTAAATGCAATTAAGGCTATATTAGGATAAGTTAATTACCTATATCAAAACACTTAAAATATCTATTACAGGGAAAATATTTTTGTGGAAGACTTAAGAAAAAGAGGCTTGTGTTTGAAAGATTTTATCTTATTTTGGCTTTTCTATACTTTTATCAGCTTTCATTAGAATGCAAATTAGTTTAAAGGATAAACATGTTTCAAGTTTCAAAGTTTATCAGACAGCACTTGGCTGCATAGGCTGGGTGTTACTCTACTTCAAATTTCTGATGTTGCAACTAGTTTGCCATAATTTCTTTCTAACTGCTTAATGAGGGTGCAGTCAAGTTTTAAGCTAAGCCTTGCTAGTGTTGTACTCTTTGGTTAATTTAACTTGATTTTAGCTTAAAAGGTCTTACTTCTATTTGCAAGAAAGCAAATTTATGTTCCTGCAAAATTTTCTGTTTATTAACTGTCAAGTTGATATGATAATAAATATTTTTGTTTGAATTCTTGTGCTACTTTAAGCTAAGAAGTCAAAAGAGACAAAAGGTCACACAATAATCTTCTATACTTTCTTAGGTACTTAAAATTAATAGCATAATCATATATGTTTGTCACATGTGAAAAACCTCAGGCAGGCACCACTTCATTCACAAGCACATGTCCTGATTTATTTGCAGTTATCTTATCTCCTCAGCAACTAGAAGGCCTCAAATGTAATTACAAAAACATTTTTAGTTAAAGGTTTAATAGTTTTGTCCCCCCCCCCCAAGTTTGATAAAAAAAGTTACATCTGTAAGTAGGAAAATGGTACCGATATTAACATTTTAAATACTTTTTAGAATAACTTTCATACTATAAATAAAATAATAACATTTTCCACGGATGTTTTCTTTTCTTCCTACATAAGCACTTAATAGAGAAGTTGCATTTACGATTGTATATAAATAATGTAATTTATTTACTAAAGAAATATTAATTATATTATCTCCTAATATAAATTTAGTAGTACGTATCAAAATGAGGTAACCCAGAAGTATGAAATTTAATTCTGAAATTTTTTTAAAGGGACTTGAATTGAAATCACAAAAAAAAATTCTGAAAATTTTTTTAAAGGTACTAAAATTTAAATCATGAAAATAGAAATTCAAATTTTGAAAAAGAAAATTAATAAACCAAGCAATTATCATCATTGATCGGAAATTAGTTAACTTTTCAAGGGGAACAAACCAATCCCCCCGTTCAATGAACATAACTAATAAATGTGAAAGTGTTTTGTCTTTTACTCAAGTAAGAATGATGATGCCAAACTGGCACATTTAGTTAAGGCTAACTGTAGTTCCATTAAGTTATTGGATTAAAAATTACATGATACTTGGGTAAAGTGTCCCCCAATACCCTCGCTTTCATGCATGTTAATTCAAAACTATTTTTATATAAATAAAACAAACACTAGTTAATCTTATATAAACAAAGGGCTAAACAAACATCATTGTATAAAAATACAATTATATTTATTTAGTTCTTTTTTCTTCCCTCAAGGATCTGATTTAGTGTGATATATCTTAAAACAAGGCAAGAAACACAGTCCAACACCACATTCCAAAAAAATACTAAGTCTCCATTTCTTTTGCTGTTGCCATTTTTCTTCATATTGGAACTATATGGTGGATGCTGCAAAAGATTCCATTCGAGTCTGTACAAATCCAGCCAGTGAACGCAGACACATGTGGTTTTGCATTATCTTAAAGGAACATGACCCTTTTGGGCCGGAACTCAGTTCGACGTTTTTCCTTGACAGCAACGTTAACATGAACTAGCATCTGGCTGTACAATGCACTGTTAAGGATTTTACCAATTTGTCCAGATACTTTTGTGGATAATACCATGGCAATTCCACTAGATACAAAGCATGATCTTTTTGTTAGTCAAATTGCACTTTGCGATGCTGCCAGCGAGCACAGACCAAGCTCTTTTTCAGCCTCTGTCATTGAAGTAAATCCACTTTTCATTACAAGTGGTGATCCAGTCCAGAATTTTGTCCTTGCACTGATATTTGAACAAATTAGTGCAGGCCCAAACATTTCTGTTCTTATCTGCTTGAGTCAGCTCTAGCGGCACCAGCGGCTGAACTTGTACGTCAAGTTTATAAGATACATAATGTGACTAATGGACATGGCACTAACATCTAACTCCTTAACAACCTCTTGAATGGTTGCTTACTGTTTTTTTCCACAAGTTCTCCCAGGTGAGCCTTATCAACATCCGTAGGTTGGCTAGAGTGCTCTGTCTTCTTGAATGTCATAGTCCTTGTTTTCTAACTTTCCGTACCATATATTCACAGTATCATATGACACAGCATTAGTACCTAAAGCTGTACACATGATTTGGTGACATTTTGTAACTGACATTTAGCAATAGAACTAGAAGTAAATGACAGTTCTAAGGTTGTAGCATGATAGTTTCATTTCAAACACCTTGTACTGTAAGGATCTTAAGTTTTACGTTTATTTTATTTTAAATCTTTACTATCACTTCTTATTTTCTACTTCCGGCCAGAATTATAAGCGTGAAGGTTTTTATGCAAAGTTTGTCTGGCGAACGCCAAGTATTTAAGTTGTGGCCTTTTGCCAAGCGAGAGAGAGGAAACAGTTGAGTCAAAGCAGGCCGCTTACCTTAGAAGATACGCAGTTGCAGTTTGCCTTCCAGGCCAGAGGTTTTAATCCTCTTGATAAATTTAAACGTATTGTAGTGTTCACAGTCTCTGTACTACATACGCTTCCTGTTATTATAAGGCCAATCTTCCACGTGTATTATTCTAAAGTTAAATTAGAGTTTAGTTTTATTTTTATACTTTTACGTTAGACCGCCAGTGGCGGGTCAGTGTATTCCGAAGTCGGAAGTTATTGTATATAGAGAAAAATAAAGGGTTTTGTATACCCTTCGTCTGTATCTTGTCTACTTACCACAATTAGTGAACATAGCTTTAGTAAGCTCTCTGTTCCGAGTCAGGTCCTTGTATGTTCCCGAAGAAGGTTAGAAGGAACATTGAACCTGATAATGGCGCCCAACGAAGAAGAATAACCATGGCCGAGTTTCAAGAAGAACCTGTGCTGCCTGCAGAAACGGCTCAGAATCCAGAAATGCCAGCTGCCGCCCTGGAAGGATTTGGGTACATCGTCCAGACCATGCACGCTTCGATGAAACCAGAAGCAACATTTAACGGAAACTCACCGGTAACCAGTTTTTTGGAAAAATTGGATGACCACTTCATGCTCTACCCCGTGCACGAGTTTCAAAAAGTTACCTTAGCTACCAGCGCTTTGAGGGGCCAAGCGCTTAACTGGTTCAAATGTATAGGCAGAAGTCTCTTGGGTCAAGCAGGAAGTCCCACCTATACTTACAAAAAATTTCAAGACTGCCCTACTAAAAGCCTTCCCTGTTGTAAGGGATCGTGCGAAATTAGAAACGGAACTTTTCAGTATATATCAACAAAGAATCGAAAAACCTCTCGAGCTTTATTTTTAAGAAAAATTCACGTTTTCAAGCTCTTGTATGGAAACCGTCCGGATCCTGAAATAATTCAAGTGATTTTGCCGAGGTTACTGCCCCAAGTGCAAGACTTTATTGAATTCAGAAATCCGACTGCACTGGAAAAGTTATTTGAGCTAGCAATCCAGTTTGAAAGTAGAAGAACGGCGGACGTCGAAAAAAGACGCCAATATCAACAGCAAAACCAATTTGGTACGCCAAGACTACAGCAAACTCAAGCATACAGCTACGGAGAAAAAGCGAATCAGTGGGCAAGGAAACCCGAGCATTCAAAAACAGCCGGCGAACGTCGACAGTTCAATAGCAACCCAGGAAAAAAGTCTCAAGGCCAGGGGAAAAAGAAGGAAAGCACGGAAAGGAAAAATAATTTAAACTAAAACGGATTTCTGCTGACGAGAGGGTGCGGAAATCCGAAGGCCACGAAAACCCCTCTTCCTACAAGTTAAATACAGTAATGGTGAAAAATTTGACTCTTCCGAAGATTGAAGTCTTGGTGAATAATATC